GACTTGAGAACGTGCGTTTACTCAAACCATTCTTTATTTCTCTCCACATAAAATAATTTGATATAATGCGAATTTTATCAAAGGCACAATTCACGTCAAGTCGAGCTCACCGTAGCTAAGTAACATACTAGAATATGTACATAATTAACGTTCTTTTCGCTGCCTGTAAGATCAACAGGTTGGTTACCAAGCACACTATACACAACGGAACGACCATACATCCTCTGTATATATAAAGCCCATTTTGTGAGGTGTCAAGAGGTTGATACAAAGAGTGGCTTCAATCTTGATATCTAATATCAATCATATTTAAACTGTAGCACCCACTTGTAGTGGCCTACACTAAATAACCACGTGTGGGCTGCTGACACAAAATTTCAGACAACATCTCTCCGCACCAATTGCCATCCGTCCTTATCCGTCCTTCCTCGAATTGTTTTACTGCATCGTACACTCACTTGGTGTGTCGATTTCACCACGAGCGCAGTCCGCACGTTCAACGCACCCTAATAGTTACTACACCATATATTCTCAATAGTTATTACACCATATATTCTCAATAGTTATTTCACCATATATTCTCGAAGTGTGTCTTGCTGACTATCAATGTTCCGGATATTGTCATGTAAAGATCATGCGTACCACAATTACTTAGCCTGTGCCAGGACTTCCGTCTGGCCGAATTGTAATCTAGTGCGTGTCTCATGAGTGCTACTGGGGCGTGGCTCACGCAGCTAAGTTGGCACCAACGGTGTCAGATCTACCACAGTGGATCATTGCGATAAGATTGTGAAGACGGCCCGACCCTGCATATATAGATAGCTCTATATACACTGTTTACAATCACTTACATACGTAGGAGATAAGCACCCGTGATGCCTGTGATTCTCCCAGGTCTGTACTTTGACCACTACAACCATATAGCCTTATTCCTATACACTTTCCACCAGATCACCGGAACCTATTCGGATATCCACTACCTCACCCATCCCCCAGCATCTTGATGTAAGCCGTCGCCAACAACAGTACCAGGGACTGGCGGTGTCTTGCCATGTACCGAGTGTACTGCCTTATGTTTTTCTTCGGCGGTATTCGAGTTACAGATCTCTATGTGTGAGAGGTATTTGGGCTGCTGTGATCGACAAGAACAACAGACGGAACTAGTTAGATCGCGAATCGTAGGTGAGTCTATGTAATGGAAACAGAGGGGATGGGGCCAAAGCAAAGAAGTGTAAGTGATACGACAATGTAAATCCTGACAACCCAAGAATAAGGCCCGATATCCAATTGGGTTGAACCCGAATACCATAAAAAACAAAGCAGTGCAAGTGATATGGCACTGTAAATCCTGATAACACAAGAATAAGGCCCATTTCCCAATTGGTTTGAACCCAAATACCACAAAAACACAAACGCTATGAGTAAGTATATGTTGTGCTTACCTACTGGGCGGATTGACTTCAAACGCATCGTGGTCATCCTCACACAACTCATGCGCCGCAGTGGTCCGGACAACGTGCTTCTCCTGTGCATTTGCAGTGGCATTGATCAGGTCTGTGCTGGTCGGATTGAAGCTAGACTCATTCCCATCGGTGGCTGCGGGTGTAATTTTGGGTTTCTTTGCGTGCGCGGTGGCGGTTGAGGCGATGGTTAGCTCAACCTCGTGGCGTTTATACCTACCTCGCCAGGCCAGTGTCCCTGTTAGAAATCCATGAATACGGGTTTTAAAAAGAATAGATCCATTAATAATAACCAAGTCAGTAAGAGCTGCATTAAGCATTAACAGGATGAACAACTGCTAAGACGAGATTCAATATCTTGACAATGTGCTTATTGAATGAGTACATTAAGATCAGCCCGAGCACAAAATCTTTGTAAAAATGTTGAATTGAAGAAAAAGCAAACAACTTACAATCAGACTATGCAAAGAAGACCAGCCCAGGTTACGATATGTATACACACACATATATATTGATATATAT